AATCCACAGGATAGGATGAGTCTGCACTTCTCAGGATTCAAGAGCACTTCTGGTTTTCAGCCATCATGCCCCTCTCCTCTTCACTGCTTAAGTATTCTTGGCCACTCCTGTCTGTTCTGACAATCTCCACTTGTGCCACAGCTGTCAAGGCAATGCCAGTGATAAAGCTGTGCAGCACCACCATTGCACAGGTCTTTTCTTTCCGCAATCTTTCCGCAATGTTCTAATCCTCATTTACAACTGAAGCATGTTTTTGTCTACTTCCCATACCTTACATAGGTGTAACAAGCAACTGGAGGACACTGTGGTCCTTTAATGCATGCCTCTGCTTCTATGTCACCTAAAGTAGTATTTCTAATTGGGAATCTAACACGGTTTTGCAACAGGCTGCTGTTTAGAGGAAGCACAGACCCCCCCCTATTTCTCCTTTCAGCCGGCCCCTGTATACATGGAGGGATGCAAGAAAGAAGAGGCTGTCATCCTCAGGCCAAAGAAAAAGGTTGGGGACCATGGCTCTAGACCATGACAACAACTCTAGCTCCTGCAATGAGACTGCATGAGAACCTGAGCTGCCCATGGCAGGGGTTGGAGCTGGATGATGGTAAGTTCCGTCCCAACCCAAACTGTTGTTTGATTCTACGATCTCACAGTCCCTGCTGTGGAAAGACCAGGATCTTGCTCTCTCCTCCTCCTCTTTACCCTCTCCCTTCTCTCTGTACCTGACCCTCCTCACTCCTGCTGCCTCTGCTCATCGCAGGGCTCCCCATTCATGAGATGGCCATTCATGAGATGGCCATGGCTTTCAGTCATGGCCCAGTCCCTCAGCCAGTTCAACTCATCGGTCAGACCAAAGGTGTTGGCAGAAAGCACCCAGAGAGTGACATTAAGAAACAGGGAGTGTTATTATCATTGTCATTAGCACTACTACATGAATAGTTCATACATTTTAACACTTGTTATTAGTAAGGTTCTTTCATCTACAGTAATCCTGATTAGTAATCAGATGAATTACTGTAGCAATATTGTGCCCTGTGTGTGAGCGAAAAAGTAAAGAAAAATTAATCCAAGATGAAAGAACAATTTAGAACTATTCCTGGTTTTTTTTATATTTTAGATCACCATGACTTCATTATGAACTTCACCCAGAACTGTAATCTCTTTATTTCAGGATCACTCAAGCATAGCAGCAGTTCTAAATTCAAAGCATATGCCTCACCAAAAAGAAAAGTGAAATTACATTGTATTATACAAATTATGCAGTATAATATTTATATAATGGCACCTTCAGAAAACAGTTCTGGATTCTGTAATTTATGTTCATTTTTACTTGAATAAAAAGATTAGATGTTAAATAAGGAAATATTCCCTCGGGGGGGGGGGGGGGGAATTAAACCTGAGGCTACATTTTAATTACTTTGTCCTTCTAAAGAAATACATGAAAACATTATTACTATTAATAATAGTAATGAGAAAGCTAAGAAGATGTTTCTGAAAAAGTATAGGAATAAAAGTTGTACTAATTACATAAGAACAAATATGGAACATTCCTTCTCCTTATGGCCATATGGCTTTTATCTGTATTTAAAAAAAGGCTTTAAAAGTGTTATTCAAGAAAAGCAGGAAACTGTTCTGGTCATTGTAAGGTAAGGTGCTGTCTACAGTGAAAGACTATGAAAAATAGCTCATTATAACAATGCAAGAAGCAAATACTTTGAATTCAGCAATTAGCAGAGAAAGAATATTTGGAAGAGTATTTACAGTTCGTTCAGCCAATACCTAGATAGCCTCTATTCTGCCTCACCACTGGCGGAAGACAAGCTCTTTAAAAGAAACTGGCGCATATACATGGGGCTTAGAAACCTTTCTCCTAGTCCTTCAGCACTGAAAAGGACTGAAGGCTGGAGAAGGCTGAGGTTCTCAATGACTTTGCCTCAGTCTTCACTGGCAAAGTCTCTGATCACACCAGCCAAGTCTTGGAAGGCAGACGCAGGGACTGTGAGAATGAAGACCTTGGGCCCACCATAGGAGAAGAACTGGTTTGAGACCATCTTAAAAACCTGAATGTGCACAAGTCCATGGGACCTGATGAAATCCATCCACGGGTCCTGAAGGAGCTGGCAAATGAAGTTGCTAGGCCACTCTCCATCATATGTGAAAAATCATGGCAGTCAGGTGAAGTTCCTGACGACTGGAAAAAGGGAAATATAACCCCCATTTTCAAGAAGGGGAAAATGGATGACCCGGGGAATTACAGACCAGTCAGTCTCACCTCTGTGCCTGGCAAAATCTTGGAGCAGATTCTCCTGGAAGGCATGCTAAGGCACATGAAAAACAACAAGGTGCTTGGTGACAGCCAGCATGGCTTCACTAAGGGCAAATCCTGCCTGACCAATTTGGTGGCCTTCTATGATGGGGCTACAGAACTGATGGACAGCGGTAAAGCAGTTGATGTCATCTACGTGGATTTGTGCAAAGCATTCGATGCTGTCCCACACGACATCCTTGTCTCTAAATTGGAGAGACATCAACTTGATGAATGGAGCACTCGGTGGATAAAGAACAGGCTGGATGGCTGCACACGAAGAGTTATGGTCAATGGCTCAATGTCCAGCTGGAGACCAGTAACGAGTGGTGTCCCCCAGGGATCGGTGTTGGGACCGGTCTTGTTCAACATCTTCGTTGCTGACATAGACAGTGGGATTGAGTGCGCCCTCAGCAAGTTTGCCAATGACACCAAGCTGTGTGGTTCGGTTGATACGCTGGAGAGAAGGAATGCCATCCAGAGGGACCTTGACACGCTTGTGAGGTGGGCTGATGCCAACCTCATGAAGTTTAACCATGCCAAGTGCAAGGTCCTACACCTGGGTCGGAGCAATCCCAGGCACAGCTGCAGGCTGGGCAGAGAAGAGATTCAGAGCAGCCCTGTGGAGAAGGACTTAGGGGTGCCGGTCAATGAGAAAATGAACATGGGCCGGCTTCAGTGTGCACTCACAGCCCAGAAAGCCAACCGTATCCTGGGCTGCATCAAAAGGAGCATGACCAGCAGATCGAAGGAGGTGATCCTGCCCCTCTACTCTGCTCTTGTGAGACCTCACTTGGAGCATTGTGTGAGTTCTGGTGTCCTCAACACAAAAAGGACATGGAACTCTTGGAACAAGTCCAGAGGAGGCCACGAGGATGATCAGGGGACTGGAGCACCTCCCATAAGAAGATCGGCTGAGAAAGTTGGGGCTGTTCAGCCTGGAGAAGAGAAGGCTGCATGAAGACCCCAAAGCAGCCTTCCAGTATCTGAACGGGGCATATAGGGATGCTGGGGATGGACTCTTCATTAGAGAATGTAGTGATAGGACAATGGATAGGTAATGGGTGAAAACTTAAACAGGGGAAGTTTAGATTGGATATAAGGAGGAAGTTCTTTCCTGTTAAGGTGGTGAGGCACTGGAATGGGTTGCCGAGGGAGGTTGTGAATGCTCCATCCCTGGCAGTGTTCAAGACCAGGTTGGATGAGGCCTTGGGTGATATGGTTTAGTGTGAGGTGTCCCTGTCCATTGCAGGGAGGTTGGAACTGGACGATCTTAAGGTCCTTTCCAATCCTAAATATTCTATGATTCTATAATTCTATGAAAAACTCATATTTTTTAAAATATACAAATCACAGTCATTTTCACATATCCCATGTCTTCCCTCACACCTATCCCTCCCTCCTGTACATTCTAGCACCTAGCACAGGCTTTTGGCAGCTAGATGTTAAATTGCTCTTGAGAACATTTCAATTGTTACTAGTGACCATCAGGACACAAAGCTGGGAAGGAGTAAAGCCACAACCAGCTGAAGTAAAGTCATCCCTTCCTGAACTACAGACTGCTAAATCATGCCTGAAAAGATGTTAAGGATACATGACTATAAAGACAGCTCCATGCATATACACTCACCGATAATCTCATTCCATCTTCTTGAAAGATGGTTACCGTTCAAAGACCAAATTACCGCCATAACTCATCACACTGCACCTTCCACAGAGAACACTCTTCAATGGAGACTGCCTGAAACCAGTTGGCTGGAAAATCAGGCCCAAATATTGGATATTTTTCCACAGAAATATGGATACATTACATGTATTCACACATGCACTATGGATGAATAGAACACAATTGTTTCAGATTCTCAAAAAAAAGGTCTCATGGTTTGTCAGTTGAAAAAAAAGTTTATATTCACCACATGCTCACAATTTTTATCATTAATCTTTAATGACAGCTCAAATCTACAGGCTTATAAATATATATTTTCATAATTGTGACAACCAGTGACTAGATGTGGTTTTGGTGGAAAATCATCTGAAATACTGTAAGGCTAGGTAAATTACAAGGCATTATTATAAAACACTGATGTTGAATTTTTGGTGATTTTACATTACTTTTACAAACATTATAAACAAACATTACTTGGTGAAATACAAACATTGAAGAAGAAACTACAACCAAAAGTAATTTACCAGTTAAATACACAGTTAGAAACAACCTTCATTTTTAAACAAAGTCAAAGTAAATCAAAGAAACCGTAATAAAAACTGTCTTCAACAGACAGCATCTCCCTTACAGAGAGAAGTAGTTTGTGTAACATCGTAAAGGGAGGAGATGCATTTCTTTAAATCCTTTCAAGAACAGTAATTTTCTGTCACAGCAGTCATTTTTCCCCATTACAACATGGATTCATGTCCAGATATAGACAGGTTTTGCACCCAGGTAGAGATCATTTTGTATCAATCTTAAAATGCATGAAGTTCACATCAGGGTGCACTTTCATGAAGCCAGTTGCAAGATGTACATGTATGTTTGCTTTACCAGAGCTTAGAAACTGGGAGTAACCCCAACTGGCTTTAGTTTTAATATTTTTCATCAGCTTCATAAACAAATCTTAGCTTTTCGAGTTTAAAAGTGTAATACAATTTGGCTTATTTTAAAGACACGAATACAAAAAAATTATTAACTCACAATAGTGTAGTCCTAAAAGTGATAAAGAGTGAAGTATAATGTGTAAGACTTCATTACTCAATTTTATGAAATACTGTCTTCTTACTGTCATTCAGAGGACTATGATAATGATCTAGTGAAGTCAGATTGGACAAGAAAGAGCCTAACAATATGACACTATTTGAGACATACTGTTTCCTTAATGACACTTTAAACAGAATATTTTACAGACAACACACCAACACATCCAACTATACCAATCAAGTTAATTTCTAAAAAACCAGGTGCACCATAATATTGCATAGAAAGAAATCCCCAGCATTAATACACTTTCACTGAAGACTAGGAGTTTCTCCCTGCCTTACTAAATCAAAGCACATACATTTTATTAAAGCATATCTCACATTTGCCATTTTTCTTAGCTATATTCTTTGGAATCGCTAGTGTATATTATTTCAAGCACATTTTTATTCTGAATGCTATTGTTTAATATAAAAAAACCCTAAAATTGAAAGGAAAATGGTCTTCCTGTCTTATCCCCTTAAAATGTAATGTAAAATAATCTTCCTGTGTCACATAAAAATAAAATCAGACGTTTTTCAATAACAGAAAGCTCAAACAAAACCCAGGATAGATGAATGAGGTGGATATTCATACACAATATGTATGAAATCCAGGGTCAAAAATCCTCTCTGTAGAAGAATTTAAAACATGTATTTATAAATTGGCTAAACCAATAGCCCGTGGTTTTATAGCTAGTATTCATTTTGATTATGGAAGACATACATTCAAGTCCATACACTGATTTAGGAAGTATTCTGACCACTTAACTATTTTAGGGCAATTCTCTCATATAAGCTGAACCTGAGAAAACCTTCCTATTGACACAGGTATGTTTCCCTGAACATGTTTCATTTTATGTATGTCACCATCTTCCATTTTAGAAAAACACTGATCAGTTCTGCATAAGGCTAGGGTTCTGTATTTTACAGCACAAACGTCTATATTTACTCCCTACCTTGAACTACTTGTTTGAAAAACCTTAATTTCAGTGCTCAAAAATATTTTCATTTCAGTAAGTAATCCCTTCATGTATTCAGAATAGGTACATGTGAAGTTCATACATGAAACAGAATTAGTTCATGAAGATTTGCCAAAAAAGCCATGCAGAATAACTGGAAGGTAAAAGCCATTTTCTTCAGATATTTCTTACAGTGAGCACTTTTATCTCATGTTATAAACTGTGCAGACAGATTAAATCCATCCAAAAGTTTTCATGGTATGCATTATGCAGCATCAGATAAATAGCAGTAAAAGCCGAACAGTCCATGTCTCCACAAATAGAGTTAATAAAAAACTAGAAATTCTGATTTCAGATAGAATATATATTCATAATATCTGTGTAAGAGGTTAATATATACAATAAATATATTTTGTTATATTAACTATAGTCACAGTTTTGGGGTTTTTTACTTAACTACATAACTGTAGAGGTGTACCAGGAAGACAGATTTCTGACTGTCATTTCTTTCACTGTAAGACAGGAAAATATTAGCAAATCCTTCTGGCTGTTACAGGATTTCTGGCACAGCTGAAAATGCATCATGAATTAGAATTATTATATTTTTAGTACAAATTTAATTTTAATGATAAAAACATTATTGGGCTTTTGGAGAGAGAACTAGGGAACCCATGAGATTTCTTCCTAGGAAATGTTGAAAGGCACATAAAAATTTCAATATATATTTGATATTATGTTAAAAAGCAGGTTCTAAGTATTTCTGTAGGTTACATTAAAATATAGGATTAGAAGATGTTTGCCTGTTGACGCTATAGAAAAGCATTTCATGTCTCTGTAAAGAGATCATGTGTACGCATGAGCAGACATTTGTTCATTCAAGTGATACATTTTTCCTTCACATATGCTGAAACAACAGAAAGTGTGCACTGATTTTCTTGTTTACTGAGGCACACATATCCGCATCAAAAAGTTACCTGCTAATGGTAAAATGAGAAAAATATATTCTACCTGAAAGTGTATGCATTTATTGAAAATGAGTGCAACAGTTTCAATTTTTTTGCTAATTAATAATATGCTTAGCTAGCTGAAATTCCATTTGCAGTCACTTAATTGTTCTGATTCCTTTTAGGATTTCTAACAATATAGGTAGAATTCAAAAATACTGCCATGAAAGGCATAGAATCCCATGCAAAATATCTACCAGTTTTGGTGTGAAGCAGCAAACATCAATGTATATCAGACATACAGTACAATTTGACCCACTCTATAAAGTATCTTTATAGTGCACATAAAACACTGTGGCACATCTCATAGAGCTACAACTTTGCACAATTAATGACAGACACATTTTTACATCCGCAGAGACATAAGCAATGAATAACTCACTTAAAAGTGAAGTATACAACCTAAGGATTATTTCCTTGCCTAAACCATTCTAGTATCACTTGGAAAGGAAGGTGGCACAGGCTCTATTCATGCATATAAAAATACAAAGAGCTGACATATTCTCCAGAAAAAGGTTGGATTGAAAATCTTCACATATTTTGCTTTGCCTGTGACAGTGCATTTTATAGAACTATATTCTTTAGAAATGTGATATTAAAAAGTTGGTTTGCTCCAGCTCCTGTTAAAATGGTTGCTGTCCCACCAACTTGAAAACTATCCTGTCCAGGTTTTTCTCCTCAGAGTCACCATTTATGTAAATATTATATAATTATTCTTTTGAATCCTTATTTCATCTCCACTGATCGCAATGCTTCTAGCAAGCCACACATAGATAACACCAGGTTGAAGACTAAAGGACTGGAAACTGTACATGCATTCTGCAAGGGGAAAAAGCAATCATGGTCATTGCAACTGAACACTGGATAAGTGCTAGGAAATCTGAATAAATCTCACATGGAAATAGATTAATATGATAGAACTGAAAAATATGTAATCAAAGCAGGGCAGCTTTGACACATACCTGATAAATTTCTATTAAAACACTGCGAACTTCTTCCACAGACTTCATCAATAACATTCTCCAGTCAAAGCTGACCAGGCACCACCTTACCCTTCCAGACTTTAAAAAGCAGGTGTTTCTAAATGCTTCCAGGAGGCCATGTCTTTTACTGGACTTCCACAAATCGACAATCTGTGATCATGTTCAAACCCATATTGTTACTTTCAAAATTTAGTGACGATGACAGGCTTAACTGCTTGAGACTCTGTTTTGCAAAATGCTGCTCTGGTACTCTGCATCCTCAAAATGGTTAATATTCAGACCCATGTATAACAAAGGGGGGAATAAATTATAGAGCAACAATCCCTGAACAGAATTACAAAGCCGTAGCTCAATTCTGCTTAGAACATTTCAACAGAGACCAAGATTAATTTCACCTAAGCCATGATAAAAAGGAGGGTAACTCAACAACTTGCTAGTGTACTTGATGCGTGTACATCCATGTAGGTACTCCAGATTCAAAGAGTTTAAGCCACAGTTGCTATAGGGAGATTTTTAAGTGCTTACATACCTGCAGATGCTGCACAAATCAAACTGACAATGACAACTGCCATCCATTAGAAGATAATTTTGAAGTTCTAGAATTAGAGTTACTGTTAAAAATGGTTTTAGCACCATTTCTAAAGCCATTAAAACAGAAAAGACATCTTGTTAAATCTTAATCTAAAATGCACAGAAACTATTTCTCCAAGTGTTTTCATCAATTTACATAACAGTTCTTGGTTTAGTTTTGGGGTAAAAAGGCCAAGCAAAACATGTTTTGGAAAGCTATAACACTAAATAAAAAGATGCTCTGCTCTATTTCCACCAGATTTCAAAGTGCTTTCAAATGGAGGCAAGTCTTTTTCCTTCTCTCCAGTATTAAGGCTCTTGTAAAAAAAATAGGTTTAACTAAAAGACACTTGGCTTTCTTCATCAAATACACCACTTAATATGCTTTAATCATGAACATTTTGAAACCCTAATTCAGCAATTTTAGCTTTATAAATGTGTACTAGCAATATGTAGGATTACTTTATTATGAGAGAGGGGCCTTAATATTCTAAACTATTAAATACTCAGTAGATGTTTACTGCACATTTGGTTTATATTCTCTTTCTATTAAAAAAGCTGGAATTAGAAAACTGACTGGGGATTTAAAACCAAGTTAATAATACCACAAAAAGTAGTTTTGTTATTATTTCTATTAAATCAGGGCTTAGAAACATTAAATGAAACACTCTTTTCCCATCAAGTTTCCAGACCTTTTTTCCCCCCAGAATTTATTAGGGCAATTATCCTGACTAAACTAGACCCGCAGGAGACAAAAGTGCTTCAGTTCCCACTGAAGTGAAAAGGTTCTATGAGAACATGACATTACTCAAGATGTCTGGGACACATAACCCTTTTGCAGAACATAAAAATGCAGTTAAAAACCACATTTAATTCCTAAACAATCTACAAAAGATCCAAGACTTTAAAGGCCTGATCTGACAGCCCTTCATAATCAGAAGATCACACTGACATTGGTTTTACCACTCTCAGATGTTGGATTTGTAGAGGTCCCTCTCCTGCAAACACATGCACTCAAGATTTGGCAGCAGCACAACCTGTGTTCAGCTAAACTCCTGAAAAAGCAAGTTTAAAAGGGAAAATACTGTTTGCTGCTAATGAAATGCTAATTTAAAGTATACCTTTGAAGGCAGAAGTCAGCATGCTCTGTAATTTTTATTGACGTACTTTTTATATGGCAAGCTATGGCTTTCCTCCGTTTGAATGACTAACTTTAGGCAGTTTTGTGAAATCTGAGACTTACTAAATTATGAAACATTTGAAGCATTTGTTTTTCAGAAAGTAGGCTACTGCATTGATGCCATGGCACAAGAAATTCAACTAAACTGTTAACAGGAATAGAATGGAAAGTCTTCGGACGTAGACTGGAATTATGACTTTAGCTCTTGCAATCTCTAGTTCCTTTGGTGCAATTCCACACCCTTCCCACTGAGCTCAGGTCAAGCATCTTCACGGAATCGATCTTACTGAAACAAAGAGATCCTGACAAACCTTTATGACAACATACCATATGAATTTTAAAACAGAACACTTGCTTTTTAAAATCCCTCAGTGTGTTGCATTTCAGTTAGTGGGTGACCTTATTTTGCTTTTCTAAATAAGTTTAAACACATGAAACAGGGTTCAAAATAAGAAAAAAAAAAGTAAAACTATAATTAATCCCATCGCAGCATGATGTAACACAGCTAGACCTGGGGGCATCCGTACTCATGTGTCTTTGGGTTCAAAACTGCATTTGACCCTAAACCCTGCCCTATCAGGCCCACCCCACACGGGTGGGCCAGGGAGGCTTTGAACACGGATCCAGCAGCTCACCGGAGCCGGGCTTTGCTTAAGCAGGATTAGGGAAGGAAAGCGGCTGGGCGATGCCCTCCGACACCGCCCTGCGCGTTACACAGCCTGACCCTGCTGAGGGGGCTGTAACGGGTGCTGACCGGCAGCGTGTGTCTGCACCCGCGGATCCTGATCCTGACCAGGGAATTGTCAGTGCCCTGCGGCCTCCCCTCTCCGGAGAGAGCCGCGGCGCACCGGGAGACCATGGAGGAAACCGGCTCCCGCCTGGAGCCGCTGCGGCAGCCCCGAGGGCATCCCCTCGGGCATTCATCCCCTCGGCTTTGCTGGCGGGATAGAGGATATAAATTATCCGTCTGTAAACAGAATTCAGGAAGGTACCTCCCGGCGACTTACAGAGAAGCGGCTGGAAGCTGGGGCCTGCGCTGGGCCGCGGACCCCGGGTGGGCAGAGAGCCGGCCAGGCCGGAGAGGCGCCGTGAGCTCCCGTGAGGGGCACCCGCAGTGCCTCAGCCCTCCGCGAGACCGGCCAGCCGGCCTCCCGGGGCTGCGCGCTACCTCCGCGCCTCAGATGAAGTGGATCCAGGCGGAGCTGTCGGGGTCCTGCGGCGGGCCGGTGGCGGGCGGGCCGCGCTGCCGGCCCCGCAGCCGGTAGTTCTTGCCCTCGTTGTTGTCCCAATACTCAGCGCCGGCGACGCGGTAGCGGACGGCGAACTCCAGCACGGCCTCGACGGCGGCGGCGGCAGCGCCCAGGGGCAGGAGGAAGGTGAAGCGGTCGGTGATGCCGTCCGCCGGGCCGGGTGCCTGGTAGGCAGCGGGCACCTCGGCGCAGCTGGCCCAGCTGTTGAGCGTGTAGCGCACCGTCACGGCCTTCTCGTAGGCGAGGTTGAGGACGCGCACGGCGCCGCGCAGCCCCGCCGGCTCGGCCCGCACCCACTCCAACCTCACCTTGTGCTGCCGCACCCGCTCCGTGAAGCCGGGGCTGGAGCCGGGCTGCGGCGGGAAGAGCGGTTCCAGCAGCGGCGGCGGCGGGCCGAACAGCACCGGCTCCAAGTCGCCCAGCGCCGGTGGCTTCCTCGTCTTGAAGAGGTCTGCGGTGCGCGGCGGCGGCGGAGCGGGCAGCGGCACCTGCGGCAGGTCGGCCTCGCAGAAGTGGCGCACGGAGGTGAGCTCCAGGCCGAGGGAGTCGGCGAACCGCACCGTCTTGCGGCGGGACGGGCTCTGCTGCAGCGCCGGGCGCAGGCTGCGGTCGCCGGGCGTGGGCAATGACTTGGCGCGGCGGCGCTGCGTGGGGCTGGGCGGCACGGCGGGCAGCGCGGGCTCCCGGCCGCGGGGCTGTGGCTTCGGCTTCTCGCCCGCCGCTTCCCGCACCACGGGCGGGGGTACAGCGTCGCCATCGGGGCTGCAGCCCGCCCTGCACTGCTCGGCCAGGCTGCCATAGAGGCAGGCGCTGCAGCTGAAGTTGCGAGGCAGGTAGAGCCGAGGAGGCGGTGTGGGCACCGAGGTGTGCAGCGAGCCCGCCTTATCCATGGGGGAGCCGGTGGGAGCGGCGGCTGTGCCGGCGGCTGGCGTAGGACCCGGGGCCCACCGCCCGACCGGGGCTCCTCCTCTCGGGCCGCTGCTTGCGGATGGCGAGGCGGTTTAGAGCCCGGGCCGCGGGCTCTGCCTCCCGCCTAGACCCGGTGTCAGTGGGATGACCTCGACGTTGTCCCCGTCGCTGCCGGCCCCGGGGACTGCCAGCGAATGCATGTGTCCACTGGAGGAGCGGGACCGCGGCGCTCCGGCGGCTGACTCTGCTGACGTGCAGGGGTCAGGCAGCGAAATACTCCCCGAGTCATCCTTCTTCCTCCCCCATCGCGCCGCTCTCCCCAGCCGCCCTCTGCCCGCCTCGGGATCGCCCTCGCCACCTTCCCTAATTGCACTCCGCCGGCGGCAGGCTTCTCTCTGCCGGCGGCTCTCGCTCCCCGCTCTCCTCAGTACCGCGGCTGCACCGTCCCCCTCCTCCTCCCCCTCTCGCTGTGTTCTGGGTCTTTCCTCGAGGAACTCATACAGAAAGAGGAGGCGGGAGGGATTCCCCCGTGGAAGCATTAAAATTCATCACGGCGCTGTCGCTCGTCCGATCCGCTACAGAAATAGCTGCTGAAGGAGGACGCCGAGCCGGGCTCTGGAAGGTTACATGGGCCGGTAAGAAAGAGCTGGCCCGTAAGCTGGACCTCGCAGTGTACATTTAAAGGAAGAAATCCAGCTAATCTGCTGTAATGCGTTTACAGTACATCTGCTGAATAAAATATGCCTGCCGCAGCCCTGCTATAAATTTACATCTGCAGTCGAAGTGGCTGCAGCCGAAACACGGAGGGTGGTTCTGCACCAGAACCGCCTCTGCTCTTTTCAGAAGAGTATTTGATAGTTGACAAGAGATATTCAAGTGAATTAAAGCTTAATGAAAAGCAGACTCTAATGTAGCCAGTTCAAGGAGCTAAACACTATTTTAGTAAGCCGCTTCATTCCAGACTTCCCGTAATCTGGTACTCATTTTTAATTAGTAAATTGCATTAAAAACAATGATCCTACCATCCTGCCAGAGACTGAGCCTGACCTGTGTTGACGTCCGATTCTGATTTAGCTTCTGGGCAGGAGCTTTTACACCTTCACCATTTTATCTGCAGCACTTGGTGTTCCTTTGAAAGTCTAGGCAGAGGAAATGAAGCCAATGAGATTAAGAATGGAACAAGTAAACCCCAAGACTTAAAGAAAGACACTAGACCACAAGGAAAATCTCCCTACTGGCTCATATTAGAAATATCAGCTTCAATTCCCTTATTAAGAAGTAGGAAGCAATTCCTAGGTTATTGCTGCTGGATTCCAAATCTTTTTAATGACAGACGGTTCCTAAACAGCGAATGAAAAATGATGCCCCGCAGTGGTAAACTTGACATCATTACGCTTCCCAGTGATTTGTTGTGTCATTGTCTCACATTCATGGGATGATCATAGGTTTTGAAAGATCAGGTAGGAATGACATAAAGAATTACATCTGAATTTGTTAGCCCAGGATCTTAAAATTGTCTCACTTGACTTTTAATGCACACTACAGGAAAGACTCGTTAGTACTCTTTCCTATGCTTCCCTTCCAGAAATGAGTATTTCAGGAAAAAAAAAATAATGGTTTTTATCTACTCATACTGATCTGGGGGAGAACAGACCCAGAGAATCGTTTGAACAGGCTTTAATGCTACATATTTTGAGCTACTTTTTAGTAATTTCCACCTGTCATACTGAAAATTTTCTAAGGAATTAAAACTTGGTTTTGCTGATGCTAATTTCACTTTAAAATTAGGAAACAGTAAGAAAATGTGAAGTCTTTGCATTTTTAAACTGTTGTGAAACTAACTGAACTAACAAGCTAAATCAGCTTAAACTTGATTACACATTAAGTCAGTTTTGAATAGGTGCACATGAGGAGCATGAATTTGGAGTAGTTTAACTTATGTTACAGTTATACTTTGCACAATTGGGGTGCCTTAGCAGAGGTTGACTTCCCTTCTGGTAATTTCAGTTGCCCAACTTCTCCTTATCGTAAACTTGTGTAATACTCCTGCTTTTTGTCTTTTCCAGACCTTCTCTTTTCTCCCTAAATCTGGGTAATATTTAATGGGGGGGGTCTTGGGAAGCAGCTCCTTTCTTCACTAGTGATTGTAGGTGATGTACCTCATAACTGAGTTGAAAATGCAGATTCCCCGAAGTTAGTTATCCAAAAAGTGGAATAAAAAAAAAAAGGAAAATCCTGTGATAAGTAAAACTAAACAAACGAACACACTTAGCTTTGGACCAGCCAGGTCAAGGCAAAATGAGATGCAGATGAACACCCATATAAACTGATTGACTTGATGAAAAGGCAGAAATTTCAATTAAGTTCAGCTCTTGTCATCTTCAGGCAAAACCTGATGGTTCTTTGGCTTTGCAAGAGAATGAAAATACTGTAGGGGCATATGGATAGTAGAGAAAAGGATAGAGAGAGACTTGATATAAATGCATACCCACTGTACATAATTCCACAGGTGATCCTTGTGGAGTAGAGTGGAAGAAAGCCACTTACAAGCTTTCAAAAGATCAGAATGAAATGGTACTTAAATCCAAACATAAATTCACCAGCTAATCATGGAGGAGCTCAAAATTTCACCTGCATTTTCCCCCTGGCACCTCAAGTTCTGGCACACACAGGGGCACCTCAGCCTTGTCTCTGTGGAGCCTTGTCCCCATGTAAACTCCACCAGAATCCATAGCAAAAGCATTTCTCTCTCTTTTTTTTTTTTTTCTCTTGATCTGAACATTCCCAGCTTCTCTCATCGACTCTTCGAATGGGAGGTATGCTGCTGCTTTCTTTTACTCTCTTTCTTACTTGCCAAGGGTAAAGCTGTGGGAACTCTTCCCCACACCTGCCACTGAGGGTGTCCTTATTACTAGGCTGGTCCTCTACCTCTGATGAATTTTAGATACAGTAAATGAAAGTTTCTAGCACTGAAATTTAACAAACATACACACAGACATTCTTTCAAATAGCCTGCAGCCTTGTTCATCCTTCCGTGATGTGGAAGCTGTGCTACAAGTTCAAAATAGGAAGCATCTGACACCATTTCTAAAAGGAAGTTCTTTTGGTTTTGCCTACTGTAAATATTTGTACACAGCAAATGTTTAAACCCTTGGAAGCAAGGAAGAAGTACCACACATAGAGAAACCACGGCTTAATATACGCAGCAATATGCATCCATCCACAGCATCCCCCCCCCCCACCCCCCCATCTTAATTTAGTTCACAAAATTTGGGACAAGTTTAAAAATTTAATCCATCTGTTCATTTATCGTGCTCTACTAAGATAGTTATCCAGGGTTCTTTTCTAAAGAATACTGTAAATAACTAAGCTGACAAAGAAATTGCTAGTACTGACCTAGCTAGTACCTTTAAAGAAATACCTATTGTCTTTTCACTGGGAACTAATATTTTTATAACAGGGTAATTCTGAAGGTTCCAGGAGGAACAGAGCAGTGGTAATGTGAATTCTAGAGCTATACAGTGTTGCTGTGTGAAAGGATAAGAAAAGCAGGAGGTCTTACATCACAACTAGTGTCAACAGACATCAGAATTGGCACTCAGGCATTGTTTTCATTCCTTCAGATTCCTCTCCTATGCAGATTTAAATAGCATAGTCATAGGATAAAAGTTTGTCATAATAACACTGTCCTAACAACATTTTGTTGACCTGTCTGAACCTTGCCGCTGACATCAAGAATTTCAGAGACAGCCTCTTGTTCTGCACATGTAGCACTGAATGACCCTGACATTTCTGCTGTGCCAAGCTGCATTTGAAGTCCATCTGATACTCGAGAATTTCCAGCTAGTTGAACAGAGATGTATGGTTCCCTCTTTTTTTAAGATTTAAAAGATTCACAAAGGCAAAACCATTGCAGGCAATGAACTGGGAGCTTTCTTCTGTGGAATTCATCAATTGTCTTGATTCCAGGTACTCTAAGAGAAAGCAGATGCTAGTGCTGGGGAGCATTAAGCAGAACGACAATGGAACCATTAATAGGGAGGCTTGTCTGAGTGCTGGGCTTATCCAAAGTGGCCACTGTCACATGTCCACTTTAACTTTCCAGAACAGGTTTATTTTTAGTAATGAGAATTGTATGAAGATAAAACGGATGTAAAGGCGAAGTGCATTACAATTATGTCAGCTCTCGAGATGCAGTTGTGACTCAGTGCGCGAATTGGAAAGGTCAGCTCCTACTCTCATTTGTATCTGCACAGCTCTTCCAAAGCTGATGAACTATGTAGTTGTTACACCGGAGTTTCACCCAAGAGTTTAATAATCCTACATGACTACATGAATCTGACAACTGTATTTACACTGACAGTTTGTAAGCCTTGCGTGAGACACTCATTCTGCGTGCTTACACTTTAAAATACCTTCCCACACCGTTTCACATTAACAATTAACTCAGACTTCATTTACTTCCTCAGAAAAATATCTTAGTCACATCTCAGAGAAGTGCCACATTAGAACTAGGTAATATGCCTAATGCATATAAGAAAAAAAAAAAAAATTATTCTGTTAAAGAAGAATGGCATTGATCTTCTCTACCAAATACCGTCTTCACCTAACAAAGGTGCACAGTCTTGAGCAAGATGAAAGTTGCATGATTCACAGACTTGTATCAAGGACATTTGATGTTGAAGATGAGTGGATAATTTCCAAAGGGCTGCAAGTTCTGCTGAACAGAGATGTGACATTTGGGAAGGTGCTTTGTGGTCGCGTTTTGGCTTGTGGGTTTTTCTGTCTGTTTTAAACATAGGGATCCAAGTGAAGATGCAATATTAACAAGAAAATAGAACTGTAAGAGTTTACCTCAGTTCATGACCTTGTAAATCTGCCTTACTGTATGAGAAAGCTCACACAATTTTATTAGTTAAGCATTAACCATGTCTGTTGATGCTAAGTGATTGGCTTAAGACTTCTGGATAGACCATAAGCTAAAA